CAGATAGCCCTAATGCAGCTTTGCGCGAACTTCAAAATAAACCTAACCAAAACCCTAAGGAAAAGTGTTTTCTCACTCTAGCCATAATGTGAGTTTCTTTGTTAGTTTTACCCCTTCTGTAAAAAAATCACTACCTTCCAATGCCTTAATGTGAAAATTAAACAATTCTTTCATTAGTAGTAATGAAAATAAAATGCATACTACATTTTCAAATAATATTTTCGAGGTCAGTTATTACTGTTAACCTCTTATCTATCAGTTCTTAACATCGAGACAAAATCCTTTGTCTTCACCCCCTCGTTGTAATATTGTTTTCTTATTGTTTATTACTGCACACTTTGTATGATTGCTTCATTTTTTGTAATTTGCTCAAAACACTCGTGAAAAATTTCGTGTAATGTTTCTTCAGTATGTGGTCCACACGTGTATTTGTCTATATATCTATATTGCCATATACATATGCCACCATTATGCTTCGTCCCAAGTGGCACTGTGATAGGCAAAGCACAGATGGCCTGTTGTGTAGCTTTGTGCTTAAACTACAAACAAACAAACCATTATGCTTCATCAAGCACTTTTATAGTTTATATAGCTCACCTCTGGCTACTGCAGGAAATAATAATGTTTGAGTTACGAGCTGAATATATGCTACCTAACAATAAAATTGTCATCTAGGGTCTGTCAAACCCAACTCATTTGTATTTCATGCTTCCTGAGATCAATAAGTAATAGCAAAATGCAGAAGAATTAAAACATTTTAACTAAAAGTCTGTTTACCAAAATTAAAATTCGTGATGTTACTATTATGCTCTAATACATAATCAGAGAAAGTTGGATTTCTTCGTAGATTGTAGATCCACATCAGAAAATTCACCCAGTGGCTTGGAAACCAATGGGTCGTAATGTTCTTTCAATCACTGACTTTTCAGTTAGATGATTAACCTAACTGTTAATAATCGAGTGATAAATTCTCTAAAAAAGTACATATGTCGCACCTCGGTACCACTGGATATCTTTGAAAGCAATGACTGCCACTCGTTTTAAGTCCATGACTATCCACGAACTAACTGTCAATGATCAGGTAACAGCCATAAAATGTAGTCCATGCATTCTTCTGGATATTACTACCTAATAACTCAGAAAGCAAGGAATGCTACTGTATTTGAATCATTAGTTGCTCAAACTAATAACTATCTCAACTTTTACATGAGTGGTGACTGCCCCTTTAATACATACACGGTGGTTTATATTATCAACTGGGGGCTCAGAAAACAAGAAGCTGTGACATCATCTCAGTAAGCAACTTGACTACCCTAGCTTTTAATCAAGTGGAAAACACACAATGTTGTGCATACATTACAGTGTGCATCACTTGATAGCTTGAAAAGCAAGAAATGCCACTTCCTTTCAAGCATCAGGTGCTCGACTTAATGATCGTCCTGGCTTTAATGATAAGCTCATCCATATTGATCAGGAGACTGACATTGGTATTCTCTCCACTGGTTGGAGCTGGTAGTCACTTCCATTTCCAGTGACTCCTCAACTCGTTCATCAACGATTACTCAACTGTTCCTGCATCATCAGATAGGTTGGAATGACATGAGGTGGTGTTCTCAATCTCCTTTGACTCATCGGTTCCTTTCCCAGACTCCTGCTCAAGTAAGTGCACCAAAGGCTCATTCTTGATTTACAGATTCAGCTTATTGACGTGTTCCACAAGCTTTTGCATGCCTTGCATCCACTATAATTCATACTTTAGAAGACCAACTACATCCAAGTTGCTTTAGTGCAGTTAGCACATACCACAACCACAATTAGTTGCTGCATTTGAGTACCCGTTTTTTCGCTGTACTATTGTACACTTCTGTCAATGTGCTGCCTTACTGAGTTGTTGTTGAGCGAATTCGTGTGCATCGACCACCATCGATCTCAGCTACTCTTCACACTCTTTGGGACACTTCAGAACTTTCTCTTATGTTGGAGGACCGCACATCACGTACACAGTGCATAACACTTCCCATACAAACATGGGCTGATTCAGCGAACAGCCTGTAGATCCCTGTTTGGTTGCTGTATATGCCATCATCACATATGGCAGTGTTTGTCCCAGTTGGTTCTTTTGGGGTTAAGAAACTTCGCAAGCATCTGATTTGTAGTATGTATTACCCATTTTGCAAGACCATCAGACTGCGTGTAATAGAGAGGAAACAAAGAAAGGGGAGGGGGAAAAGTGTAATACGTAAGCGTGTCATGTTTTATACATGCTTCTAGTTATATAGGAAGTTTTAGAATCTTTCGTTCATTTAGTTTATATAGTTTTAGCATAGCTATGTGGTTCAGAAAGTTGTTGAGGTTGCCTTGTTTCAGTTGTTTTGTATGTATGTTATATGTTACAGATGACCAATGCTATGGTAGAATAGGGTCATAATTTGACAAAGAAACTAAGTTTCGCTGTAGAATTGAAGTACGTTTTTTGTTTCCATTCTACTAGAGATCGTCAAGTAAAGACACCATTTGAAGATCATCGTGCATGAATTCTAAAAAGATCAATAACGAGGGAGTAAAAGTTATGGGACTAAACACAGCCTAATAGAAGTATCAATTGTGATCCAGTCTGTGCAAGAAAGCATGCTGTACTTTCTTTTTGTTTTACTGTAAAAATAAAGATCTTGCTCATTTAATCACTCCTCCACTCTTCTTATTTCATATACACTAAAAACGTCAGTCAAGCTATTAAATACAGTACTCCACATATTACCTAGTCGAATTTGCTGTTATTGGTGGATCTAACTATTGGACACTTGTAGGGCATTCAGTTCACCTGAAACTATCACAGTAGTTTCTCAGTGTGTGTCAACTACGAATATGATGGCACTTGAGAACATATTTACATAAACCATGAAAGTCTCATTTAGCCTAACAAAATATGATACTAGCTATCAACTCCTAATATGTTGGCAGAATAAACTATTAGTCTGATTTTGTATAAAACTGACACTACAGATTACTAATTTAACAGATTATTAAACAATGTTATACTGACAGTTTGTACATCCAGTCTAACGCTATCAATATTCTAATCATCACCAGTAAATATGATCGTAGTTTAAACTTCTAGTCTGACAGTGTTTTATATATCAACACGTCTCCATTAATTCCTAGTCTTGCAGTATAAGTTTCTAGTCTGTGTATAAGACTAATTCCATTAACTCCTAATAACTATATATGTCACCTAAAACTATTATGGTGACTTCGTTTTAAAGCGTCACAATGTATAAGATTGATTCAATCAACTCCTAATCTAACAGCATATTAAGTAAAATTATAATATCAATTTCGACTTTTAGACTCAAAATTTAAACAGTTGATTGTAATCTAATGTAATCTGACATTTACCATCTACATACAGTTCTAGCTTCTTGTCTGCTACGTATCAACTGTAAATATGAAATCTTATAGTATATTAGGTGTAAGAGTGACTTTATCAAGTGTTACTCTGATGAAACTGATTCTATCAACTTCTAGTCAGATAGTATGTCAACTCAAAATATTGTGTCAGTATCAACTTCTAATCTAACAGAGTTCTTAGTTGTAAGACTATATCAACTGTTAATTTCAGTATGTGAAAATTACGAACATGAGATTCTCAACTTTCTGTTTGGTGGTGCATTAAGATATAAGACTGACTAAATTAACTCTTAATCTAACATTGTATAAGCCACAATATGGTGACAAGTGAAACTTTTTAAAAAATAAATTGTGACTGCATATTAAATAAAAGCCTACTTGTGTATTAACTATAAGTATAATGACAATTTCTATCTTTAGTTTGACAGTCTATGGACTGACAGCTACGATGGTAGTTGCGTTTTAACAATGAGTCAACTATACAAACAGGAGTTTTTCATGGTCTGAGAGTATAATCATAAGCAAGGGAGGCTGACAGAAACATTCCAATCAACAACTGTGAAACTATTAAACGGAATTCAAAAATGGAAGTAATTTTTATCGTACTATTTGTAAAAGTTGAAAGACAGTTATTTTTTGTTGCATGTATATAGTACGTATCTAAAGTTCTTTAATACAATTATTTTATTAGCACAATGGCGATGGAACACTTACAACCTAAGCTTTGTATATTTTCCTTTCTTTTTATTTCTCAGAGATTTGTTATAAACTTCGTTCTAATAATTTCTTACATAACAACCGATATATAAGGTTTATTTGCATTGAGTACTTTCTTGAATATTTCGTTCTTCCTTACAGGTATTGGTTACTCAGTAATCACTTTTTGAGAATGCATATTTACATAATACTGTGATTTATAATGTCTACCCTTTTAATATCCCTTTTTTGTTGTTCAAAATTGGTAAAAGGAACAACAAAACAGTAATCCTTACTTATGGTATAGTGTGTTTTTAGAGAAATGAATTAATTTTGTACTTACATAAAACCTACTTTA